CACTAATCCAAATATAACAAAAATCAGCCTTGGTAGCCAAGTATTTATATATACTTGCCACTTACTACAGACATCAGCTGACTTTTGGGGTTCTGACTTTGGTTTTTGTCCTAAAGATTTTGGTATTTTTCCCTTTAAACTATACTCTTCTTTTCTACTGCAATCTGGTTAAATTTGAAAAACTGAATTTGGATTAACCAAGTATCAATTTTAAATATCTTTTAAAGAATGTAATTCCAAAAAATTGAGACAAATGATTAGGTTTCCAAGTTCTTTATTACTTCAAAAGCTAAAGCATTTATATCAGAGGTGGTATCCAGCAGTTCTGCCCAGTTCTGGAAAACCGGTAGCAGAAATTTTGAGTAGTTCGGAGAACTGGTAAATACCACCTCTGGCTAGCCCCACCCTCATCTATTCTCTGCCTCCTCAGTTCCACCTGATATAGAGGAAATGGGAATTCTGCAGTAACCTTCCCCTGCCATGCCCACCAAGCCACAGCCACAGAAACCAGTCATAAAATTTTTTGAATCCCATCACTGATTTATATGTATGAAAATAATCCTACGCAAACTTACCTGAGACCCATATAAGCCTTTTAAATAAAATTAAGAAAATATAATTGTGTAAATATCACCCAGTACTGCTAACAGCGCAAAAAATATATAAGGAGATTTTTGGATGTAGTGTGAAAATTGGTTCTAAGTCTCAGTTAATAATAATGCAAATTTAATACACAGCTGTCCCAAAGAAAACAATAAATAATAACTTGGATGCATTGTTCTTTTACAAAAGTGAAATTTCCAATAGATATAATGCCAAAAGCTAATTAGATGTTAGTAATTAATATCTAACTAACATTTGCCTTTTCTGGTTTCTTTTAAATAACACAATCATCTAATAGCTTTTAAATAATACAAAAATCAATTATTTTTAAAAAATCTAAAGTGGCTTACTTTAATGATTCTGCCATCTTTATGTATTCTGGAGCCTTCTGGTCAACTTTTTCCATGTAAAATCGGAGTTTCTTGTTTAATAAAAGAAATCAACAAATTAAAATTAACTCACAACAATAATTCAAATATAAATGTGTTATATGCATCCTATTTTTCCTTTCTTTTATGTGAATTTAAGGATCTCAGTTACAAGATTGGTGGTTAGAACAGGAATGAATCCATTTCACATATTATTGTATCCTTGTATTATATGTATAGGTCTAGGTTTTGCAAGCAATATGAATCTGGTTTTTTTCTGAGCTATGCAGTATTCAACTGATATTACACTGGTTTATTTAAAAAACGTTGCCTATGGAATATCAGCTGGCCATTTCTGCATTGCTCCCATATCTATAATATGATTTCTGAACTGTAATGACCAGGACTATATGCAGTATTCTAACAGTGGCAGCATATTGCTAAATAGATTACACAGGAACCAAACTAAAGTTCTATACCTATCCTACAGTGCTTATAACATTTTTTTCATATAAATTGTCACTCAAACAAATCCAAGCTGGGCAAGCAACTGCTTTTTGAAAAGGTTCTAAATTCCTGAAAACAGTTGGACCAATATGTTTGAAATTTGGCAGGAAAAATAATCCCCTGAAGTGGAACAGTAGCTGCAAATTTCATCCATTTTTGTCAAACACAAAAGACTATAAATTGTTGATTTCTTATAAGAGTAACTCAATTTCAGTAACAATAGAAATTGTCATAACTTCAGATTTTCCAAAGTGAGATTTTGATTTTGATAGAATGAAATGGGAAGCTTCCAAGGTTATCTCAGCCAAGCTGTTATTTTCTAATCATCAAAGCTAAACCAAATGTTATCATCAATGAACAAATTTACTGTTTTCTTTTTAATAGAAACAGTTCCTAGTCCCTTAGATTTACTCCCATAAAAATTATTATATAATTTATGATTATTATCCCATTTAAGCCTTGATCTCAGGCATTTTACCTCATATAGTTTCACAATATCTGGTATATATTCTTTTTCATCAATCTGTTGTTCCCTTTTGAGCAGTGTCTCTTTACAGTGTCTACAGCAACGGATTCGATCATCATCCTTTTCATCCAAAACAGAACTGATACTGCTTATACTACTGATGCTACCTCGTCGAGAGCCCTGGATGCTGTTGGGTGAGCAGCTGGGGCTAGTATGAGAGACCAAGACTTCCTTGCTAGCAGTAGTAAGCTTGCCTAAAAGGAGACCAACAAAATATAACTGACACAATGCAATTGTCTTGATGACAGAACATTTATCTTGAATACATCTTCAAATGCTCAGTTCTGCTCACCTCAATTTACACGTAAAAACAGGAACTGCAATGAAGCTACTCTAAAAGGTGGCTGCTATAAAGATATCAATCAGAATGTTTTTTCCTGTACAACTGTAAAATATTATATTCAAAGTAAATGTGAATATTTGCATAACATCACATATCATGAAATATAACTACTAAACAGGCAACTGACATTACTCACACTGTAGTAATGGAATATTTCCATTTTGAGGTGAAGAAACTTTTTAGTGTATTAGATGAGACTTCTAAAAACCATAGAAAGGAGACGAGTGGGGTTTTTTCATCTTTTTCTATATATCTTTTGGAAATAAGTTTTTAAAAGGTAAAATAGTTTTTGACAACATGGGAAAAAATCCCAACACCTAAAACTAGCATTTTCAAAAATATGAAAAATTTAAAGACACAGAGACTCCAGGAGAATAAGATGCAATTTATGAGTTGCCAACTGCTCTTTGGGGGGAGGGGATTTCTCAATCTTCTCCCCACCCAAAAATAAACCCTCTGAAAATCCAGTGTATACATGTACACACATGAGGGCAATATTTGGTTGTTGTCTATGCTGCTACAAAAGCAAGATGACTTTTAAAATATGTCTAACAATTCTTCTAAAATTTCCTCTACTGCACTAAGTGGGTATCTTATCAGGGCAGAAGACAATTACACGTTTTTGTGCGTGACCCGACAAATGCGCGCACGACAAAAGCGTGACGATAAAAGCACGGCGCTAAAACCGCGACATCATCAACGCGACGCCAGCAACGCGGTGACAACAGCGCGCCGACAGAAGCGTGATTTAAGTTAAGGTAATGGTTAGGTTTACGGTTAGGTTTAAGGTTAGGTTTAGGGTTAGGGTTAGGTTTAGGGTTAGGGTTAGGGTTAGGTTTAGGGTTAGGTTTAC